GAGGTGGGTGAAATGAGGACCCGGATTGTTATTGGGGGTGATATGCTGACTCTGTAAACCGCTTAGAGAGGGCTGAAAGTCCTATGAAGCGGTATATAAGTCGAACTGCTATTGCTAACCGGTAGTAAAAAAAAATAAAAATCTGAATCCCACCACTGGCCGGTTACCAAGCATCCAAAATGTAACGTTGTGATGCTGGGAAGGGTCATTGGAACTTTGAACCCGGGTCTAAAGTAGCTCTGGTAAAGTCCAGCATCAACTTTGAATAGTTGCTAAGCAACCGGTCATAGGTTAAGGACTATCTATAATCCTCCCTTTTTTTTCCCTTATAACTTTGCAAATCCTCTGTCCTTTGCTGTTATCTTGTTTTCTGTGTGAAGTTCTTGATCCTTCAGATCTTCTGTGGTTTACAGGAAAATATTTACTGGAGTTTATTACAATTTTAAGAGGAGCTTTTTTGCCCCACATTGGATGCACGATTTTGGGCCATAAATCTCAGTTGCTACCGACTCAGACAAACTTCCAAGAAAAAAAGAGGAAATTATTGTGAGAAGACTGCCCTCTGGTGGTCCTCCTAATACATGGCAGCCCCTCAAATATCCTGTGTTAGGAATGCAGGTAGTTCTCGGTTTATGACTACCGTTAAGCCCAAAACGTATATCGCTTCTTGAAAAAAAGCACCTTTGGGCCAACCATGACCTGGATGACTGAGAATCTCCATAGACATTCAGGCCCAAAATTTCTGTTGCTAAGCGAGGCAGTTGTTAAGTGAGTTTTGCCCTCTTTTACGACTTTTCTTGCCACAGTTGTTAAGTGAATCCCTGCAGTTGTTAAATTAGTCACATGGTTGTTATGGGAATCCAGCTTCCCCATTGACTTTGCTTGTGAAGACAGTCGCGAAAATCACGTGACTCCAAAGACAATGCAACCGTCATAAATGTGAGTCAGTTGTCAAGCGCCTTAATTTTTGATTAATTTTTGAGGAACGGCCAGACGTCGTCTGGATGGAGGGGTGTCATGTGGTCACCTTTTGCAGCCTCCCCAGCTGGCTTCTGACAAGCAAGGTCAATGGGAGAAATGCTGGGTTCGGTTAACGACCATGAGTTTCACTTAACAACTGCAGTGATTCGCTTAACATCGATGGCAAAAAAAAAAAAAGATCAGATGAAACTCTCATAACCACTATCTTGCTTAAAAATGGAAGGTACCGTATTTTTCAGAGTGTAAGACGCACCAAGATTTTGAAGAGGCAAAAAAAAAGAAAAAGGTTTTGCACTCTGCAGACCTCCCCAAAATGGCTTGTTTTTTTGTGAAAATGGACCTATTTTTTGTCAAAAGAAGAGAGGCATGCATAGCTGGCTGCGTCACGGGCCGAATCCTGCAAGTGCCTGGGAAGGCTGAGAGGGAATATAGGTAGTTTTCCACAATTGGGATATACTGTGTTTTTCGGAGTATAAGACGNGTATTTGCTGTGTGAGCAACAAGGAGACAGCAAGGAGCCTGGGCATGGCTTAGCTCTGCAGTTCTGAGTCTGTGCTGAGCTCTAAACAGGTCTGCTGCTCTGAAGTGAAACTGAAAACTGTTCTCTCCTCTGCCTGTGTCTGCTTGGATTTACTACCATATTGGAAAAACCTGCTTTTAGTATTGTATATTTACTTCAAGTGTCATATTATATATAGAATCAGTTGAATCAGTTACGTGTGTGTGCTTTCTGGATGTGATTGCTGCAGCAAACTCTGACAAGGTAGTCCTCCACTTACAACAGTTTCTTTAAAGACCGGAGTTACTAGGATACAGGTAGTCCTCCAATTACAACAGTTCATTTAATGAACTGTTCGCTAAAGTTGAAGTTACAATGGCACTGAAAAAGAGTGACTTAGGACCATTTTTTGCACTTATGACGGTTGAAGCATCCCCAAGGTCACGTGATTTACATTTTGATGCTTGACAACTGGTTCGTGTTTATGACGGTGGCAGTGTCCCAGGGTCACATGATCATCTTTTGTAACCTTCTGATAAGCAAAGTCAAAGGGGGAAGCTAGATTCACTTAAGGACTGGTTAGAAATTTAACGAGGGCAGTGTTTAACGTAAATGTATGGCCTCTTTTACCCAATGGATTGAAGAGAGCCAATCTGTTGTATTGTAGGGCTGGCCCAGTTGGTGAGTTCTAGTTCTGCATTAAGCATGAAAGCTGGCTGGGTGATTTAGGGCCAATCACTGGGAGATGGTGAGTTCTAATCTCGCATTAGGGAGTAAAAGCCAACTCCTGGTGATTGGCCCAAAAATCACTCACCCGGCTTTCATACTTAAGGCAGGACTAGAACTCATAGACACCTGGTGACTGGCCCAAAGTTACCCAGCTAACCTTTGTCCCTCTGGCAGGGCTAGAATTTAGCATCTCCTTGTGTCTTGTTCCAGATCAAATCAATCTTTATTATAGTCAAAGACTAGCCTAAGGATAGTGGCGTACAGAAAAAAGATTAAATATAAAAAATGTAAGTATTAAATTGGATAAAACCGTAAAAAAATCTAAAACAAACAAATGCGGATTAAAAACAAAAAATGGACATATAAAAAAATACGATGAACTGGGGGGAAAAGGAGCTGATGTCGCGCAGGTACGACGTGCGATCTCAGAGCTCTGAGATTGCAGTCAGCATTTTTGCCGCTGGATGGTCCATTCGGACCTAAACTGTCCCGAAGAAATGGTGACAGGGAAGAGTATGTCTTGCTGATCTCAGGGACACCGAAAAGTCCCTGATTGATCCAAGAGAATCTCTTCTTGCTGGCGACAATAAGCACAGCCTCAAGCTGCTGAAGTCGGGACAACTCCGCAACGGGAGGAAAGCGGAATGAGAAAGTGTGTCCATCTGGTGAGGAAATCTTATTTTTATAAAAGACTGCCCAAAAAAGATTGAACTTAAATTAAACTGGTAAAGAAAAGGAAATAAGCGGTGAAATTAAGCATTATTGGACAGTGTGTTATCTTTTTTTTTTTTTTTTTTAATGGATGGAAGTTTTGTAAACATTTTTTACTTTTCAAAGTGAAAGTATTGGATTTTTTTCTTTTATTTCTTTTTTTACCTATGGATTAAATCTTTTCCTTTATTTCTACAATACTGGTTGTGATAGATTTTTTCTTTTTATTTTGTTTCATTTAAGAATTTTGTTTCTTNCGGGCAAACCGGAAGTCACTTCCTGAACTTCCCTACTGATATCCGACTCCGAAGGCAGCTGATAACTGTCGGACGGCCCTGGCCCCCTCTCTGCCTCCGACACGGAGCCCTCATCAGAGCCTTCCGCAGACTCCAGGACTGGCCCAGGTTCCCCCTCAGCCTCCTCACTGCCCGAATCTGCTGCCAGCTCCGTTGGCCGCTGGTGGGCCACAACAATGCCACTGTAACTTCAAACCGTCAATAAATGAACAGTTGTTAAGTCGAGGACCTGTATTCCTTATGGGAAAAATTTGTTTGGTATTCATTGTTTTTGGTACTCATTGCTCTCCTTAAATAATAGGTTCGCTGGAAGCCCTACCTCGACTTTCATCTATTCATTCAGTGACCATTCAAACTTACAACAGCACTGAAAGAACGACTTATGACCATTATTCACACTTATGAGCGTTGCAGCGTCCCTGTAGTCACGTGATCAAAATTCAGATGCTTGGCAACTGGCATGACCGTTGCAATGTCCCGGGGTCACGCGATCCCCTTTTGCAGCCTTCGTACAAGCAGGACTCACTTAACAGCCATCTTGCTTAGCAGCACAAACTTTGGGGCTCAATTGTGGTCGTAAGTCAAGGACTACCTCTGCTTGCTTGCAGAAAAACTGGTGGCAGCCAACTATGGCAATTTTACGACTTCAAGAATTTCGTACACAAGTGTTTCACGCGCACAGCCCCGTGTGAGTTCTCGGCCAGGTGTGTTACATGCATGCCTACATTTAAAAAAACAAAAACGCTTCACTTAACAGAAATCTCACTGGGAGCTGACCTGATGTCTGTAAACGAGGAATCATTTTTCTGCGAGGACTTCACAACACTCCGATTTCCCGCCGCCGTTTCCTTCCGGAAAACCTCCACTGGGTGCCGTTTTTCATCGCCGGACGCATTTTTCTTTCCTTCAGCCGGCCTTTCCAGGACCGTCTTGGTCAAGGGGTCATCTCCAGAACTGGCTGCATTTCGGATTGTTGAATCGTCTTTCTTGGCACACTGAGTGGAGGGGGAGTTGGGAGAACTGTTCTGACGAAGGTTGAGTGGACACTCCGCGAGGGCAGACAGGAGTTCGTCCCACTGTCTGGGAGTTGTGGTTTTCTCGAAGGAGTGAGCCGGAAGGACTGTAGAACTCTTAAAAGTGGCTTCCTGGCCAGATTCGGCCGGGCTGCAAATTCCAGATAGCCGCCTCTGGTGCCTTCTTTTTAAGGAATCCTGTAGGAAACACCAAAGTCTCATGGAAGGTACCAGCTCAAAACATTATGTTCGAGTACAAAAAGACGGACAGCAATTGGTTGGAGGTGTAATAAGGGTAGTGCTTCTTTAAAACATATGCTTTTAAAAGGTACGTCAGCGCAAAAGAGGTCGTGACTTGGAAGAGACATGGTAACAAGATCAGCCAATGAATAGACGTGGCAACTGCGTCAGCCAATGAGGGCTGTTTGGAAACTGAAACAGTATTTGCTGTGTGAGCAACAAGGAGACAGCAAGGAGCCTGGGCATGGCTTAGCTCTGCAGNATATGCTGACTCTGTAAACCGCTTAGAGAGGGCTGAAAGCCCTATGAAGCGGTATATAAGTCTAACTATCGCTATTGCTATATGTGATGCATTTTTGAATATAAATAAGGTATATAATAATTAATAATAATAATAAATGTGTGCATAAGTGCACCAACTTGCCTACCATCCCTGTCCTACTGTCCCCACTTACTCGTATCCATTTCCTGTATTCATAATCGTGTTTATACTTATATCTGTTATCTTATACATGCTTGACAAAATAAATAAATTAAAAATTAAAACCATGCAAGGCCATTCATAAAATACCATTCATAAACTGGGGCAGACAAACTTGGAATCTAGGACTGTCTTTTCTGTTCCCAAGGGGGTATAGCGTTCAGAAGGTGGCGTTACGTAGACTTAAAATCGGAAACATTCCTCTTGGGGATTTTACCAGAAACATATAGTAAAGAAAATGTATATTTGTTTATCCATGTTATAACAGCAGCTAGGATTGTATTTGCATAAAATTGGAAAAGCGAAGAGATTCCTGGAGAGGAGAATGTGATTAGGAAAATATTAGAATGTGCAGAAATGAACAGATTTGACATTGGCAATTAAAGAGAAAGAAGAAACTGGTTATTATACTATATGGGAAGCATTTTATTAATGGTTAGAGGGTAAATATAAAAATTAGAAGTTAAATTAGCTGTGTTAAAATATTAGAGTTAGTATAACTAAAAGAGCTAAGTAAATTAAGAGGATTGTTATAGTAGGAATAGATAAAATAATAAACATGATTGCAAAATTTAATTGTTGCTGCACAAAATATTTGTACCCAGACGACGCACTGCTTAATGGACTGTTTGTACTTTGTATTAAGATAAAATAAAAACTTTACCCCAAAAAAAGAAGAAGATGGCATTATCCCCAAAACAACCCTGTAAGGTAGACTAGGCAGAAACAGAGATCTTAGAACCTCTGCTGCTGAGGGGGATCTTGAATCCAGGTCTCTCCGTAGTCTGAAAAGGCTAGAGAGGAGTTCGCTTGGAATAATGTGGGGATTCCTATACAGTAGTGGGGAAGGGTTGGACTAGAAGACCTCTCAGGTCCCTTCCAGTCCTATGATTCCATGATCTACTGCAGGACTTATACTGGTGTTTCTCAACCTCATGAAACTTAAGATGCGTGGACTTCAATTCCCAGAATTCTCCAGCCAATCATGCTGGCTGGGGAATTCTGGGAGCTGAAGGCCATGCCGCTGATTGGAGAATTCCTGGAGTGGAAGTCCACGTATTTTAAACCTGCAGAAGTTGAGAAACGACATTCACATTAAGGATCAGGCGATGGATCTCAGTTCTGAGTATTTACATGACCATCTAAGTTGTTCAGACTTAATCCGCAAAGAATGAAGTAGTTTAGAGCAATCGGTATTTGAAAAATATACCACAGGCATCGCCTTATATCCCACCTCCCATTCCTTTCCTATAATAACAGCATTTTATAATCTTTTAATTGGCGATCACACATTTTAAGCTTCAGGAATGCCATTTCATGTATCATTAACCTTGTAGAAATAACAGAAAAAGTTCCATAGCGCATCATCTGACATTTTATTAAAACGCAGGTTTCCAGAAGGTTCTGGAAACATGCCTCTCTAGCTTTTCAGGGGCTGCAAAAAAAAAAATGGTTTTAATACATGTCTGAATACACGCGGTCCTCGACTTACAACTGTTCATTTAGTGACCAAAGTTACAACGGGGCTGAAAAAAAGTTACCTATGACTATGACAGCATCCCCACGGTCACATGATCAAAATTCAGGCGTTTGACAACTGACAGGTACGTATGACGGTGTCCCGGATCACGTGATCCCCTTTTGCGACCTCCTGACAAGCAAAGTCCATGGGGGGGGGGGGAAGCCAATTTTCCAGGTTGGCCATGCCCACATGGTAACAGCACCACCGAGCCACTCCCACAAAAAAGCAGCAAAGTTCACTTAACAACCGTTACTAACTTAACAACTGCAATGATTCACTTAACAACTGCAAGAAAAGCCGTAAAAATGGGGCCAAAAGTTGCTTAACTAATTTCTCACTTAGCAACTTCAATTTTGGGCTCAATTCAGTGGTGGGTTTCAAAATTTTTTAGAACCTCTTCTGTAGGTGTGGCCTGATTTGTGGGAGTGGCTTGCCGGCCATGTGACCGAGTGGGAGTAGCTTGGCAGTCATGTCACTGGTGGGCGTGGCCAAATTGTAAAATGTGGTGAAACTCACTTAACAACGCTCTTGTTTAGCAACCAAAATGTTGGCTCAGAAACTCTGGCATTTGAAGCACGCAAGTCTTGAAGCTGCCAAGTTACAAGACCCTTGCACCCCTAACCCTTTAGAAAAAAAAAAACCCAGGGGTGTTCAAACTTGACAGCTTTAAGACTTGTGGACTTCAACTCCCAGAATTCCTCCTCTTACTCTTCATCTTGATGATGTGCGGATTTACGCGGGGGAGGGAGCTGGAACCGGTTCTAAACGGCACTGTAGATCTGTGGAACCTCTTCTATAGAAGAGG